GGAGCACATCCACAAGTTGAAGGCAGACAAGGCCCGCAAGAAGCTCCTAGCGTAAGTCACGTCTACCTGCTCCCTCTCAGCTTCCGTGACAGGCGGCTAGCAGGACAGTGCAGGTCCAAGCCAGTGCTGATTTAGAGCATTTCTCCACTGCGCCAGGTGGTCGGTGGGAAGGGCAAAGTATTGAATTTTTAGTACCAAAAGTACAGTATCTGGTGCAGTGGAAAAACACCCTTAATGCTACTTAGTTTCCTTGGTATTTTCATCAAACTAGCATTAATGAATAAGTGCTTGGTAAAGGATGGACAAATTAAAATTACTGAATTGTATTCAGGAACTAGTCATAATCACCACTGTGCAGCAGGGTTTCTTAGATCCTGTCCTGAAAGGCCAGAATCCAACATACTTGGCAGATTTCCCTGCTCCGACATAATCGGCCAGTTACTAGGTTTAGTATGTGCGTTTAAACAGGGAAATCTGCGCACTGTATTGGATTCTGGCCCTGCAGGACTGGAATTGGGGAGCGCTGCTATAAAAAGTGACTTTGATAAAGCACTGTACTGTCACTTTCCGTGAGAAACTCAAAAAGGCCTCTGCGTAGCAGTCACCTGATCTCCTTGTGCCCCACAGCGACCAGGCTGAAGCTCGCCGCTCCAAGACCAAGGAGGCCCGTAAACGCCGTGAAGAGCGCCTCCAGGCCAAGAAGGAGGAGGTCATCAAGACTCTGTCTAAGGAGGAGGAGGCCAAGAAGTGAGCTGCTTCCATCCCCAAACCCAATTCCAATAAAATCTTCAAAGACACTGCATTGTCCCGATTTCTCATTTTTCTCCAAGATGGCCGCTAGGTGCCATAACACCATGTTGGTGTTAAGTTTACTGAGGGCTCCTTAAAATACACTAGCTATTCTTAAGCAGTATTCCCAGTTCGTCTCAGTCTCTTAAACTAGTGCAAGTTAATTTGTGTGGCTGGGGTAATTTGTGTAACTTGTGAACAAATGTCTTTACCCAGTGGCTGTAGCTGGCCTCTACTGTGAAAATGCTGGATTTCCTTAAATTCGTTTAGCTTGGAAATGCTGTAGCTTGTTACAATACCTGAGGATCAGTAATGTAATTTAAGAGTATAGTAGAAATCGGTATCCTTCTCATCTAATGTATGTTAGGAGTTTGAGTTGATACTAACTCAGTGATGTTCGAAAACCCGAATTTTAATCTTAGATTTGTGTTACTCAAGGAAAACCTGTAAATGAAAAACACAAATTCACCCTGGATTTCTGTTCCTCCTTTCAAAGGAGTAGCGGTCAGTTTTTTGTGTGTCTATTGACGAGTTAATCTGAGTACAGCTACCATTCAGTAACCTGTGCATCCACAAACCCAGCATTACAAAACCCTGTTTTTAACACTGAGGTTGCATAAAGATTGCTGTGAGAGGCAGCCGTGGCCCTCTGCTGATGCTTCCAAAGAAGGTCATGTATGGTGTGTGAACGGATCCTCTTTAACATGCCCGTTTATGGACGGGTAAGTGAACCTCTATAGTTTATCTACCGCGACAGAATATATGCAATCGCAGAACATTGCAGATCTGCGTGTGAATTTTGATGTTGCAGCTGGGGGTGTGTGTCTTCCTCACGGTGTGATATGCATGTAGATGCATGGGCTCTGATGTGATAAAATGATTTTTACTATGGATTTATTCAGCTGCGACTGCATATGTTTTACATCGATTTAACTTTTTTTTTTTTTTTTTGTCGTCTGTGTGGTGTCCTCTGAGACTGCTTCTGCGTTTCAGTTGTTTACACCAAGCGTTATCACGAAAAGTCTATTTCTGAAGATTTCCCCAAATAACAAACTCCTCAGGTGATCAGGAAAATACCTGGAAAATGGCAGGATGGGTGCTCAAAGACGTTAGGGATTGGTTGTGTTTTTCAGTCAAGCCTTGACTGAGCGTGGGAAGCAGTTGCCCTTTGTCACGTAGGCGATGTTTTTCCACTGGATCTCTTCCCTTTGGAGAAGTCCTCTGCTGTCTGCATCTGGCCACATCCAGTCGGCCGTAAAGCATGGGACGAAATCAAATCCTGTTGGTGTGCATCTTCCTCATCTTAGTGTCCTCCCTTATGGATCCGTTTGTATCTTGTGGTTCTTGTCCACTAGAGCAGGTCAAAGGCTAATATTTTAGTCTATGGCTAACTGGCATACACAAAGACTGGCAGGACCTAGACCTAGTGACGCATGTGGATTCTGATCCTGATCCTCATCGTGTTTTTCTTCCTGCTTTCTATTTGACTGAGCACCATGAGTTTCCATGAACCTGGGGTACCATACTTGGAAGATCTTCTCGGCTAAGCTATGTATCCAGTTTAGCAGCTGAACATCAACACCTCCCCCCACCCCACACCTCTACCGTCTCATTCTTGGCTGGGCCAAACGATAACATGACCTCGTCTATTTATAGATGCAAATGAGATGGGATGACTATATGTTCTGCAGAATCACAGGAATCGCACTGCGATCTTCTCTCCCAAACTCTTCTTGTAGGTTGAGGCTTCAGATATTCATTCTCAACATATGTTAGGTTCTGTGTTTTTTTTTTTTTTTTGCCTCTAAATGGACCCCATCATAGTTCTGTGAACCTCCCAGGAATGTCACAGTGGCAATAGCGAACATGCCCTTCGTCTTGCATGGGTTCTCGATTAAACGTGGAGTACCTGTGGTTAGTGTAACAATGGCATGAAGCAAATTAAGATGAAAGCTTTTCTGCCTCAACTCAGCCCCAAGAATTCCAAACGGTGGTCACGGTTGTAGAGTGCCAAGTACAACGATCTTCTCCTCTGTACATAAGTGGTCCTAGTGTGGAAAAATGTCTATCTCCCTCAAGCGCTGAAAGGTAGTATGTGACAGGCAGACCTAGGTCAATAGCGTGTAGTCTAAGAGGAAAGGGTGGAGGTCACCAGGATAAAGGAGGGTCTGTCCTCTGTATTCCTCGTAGATGGTGTTTGTCAAGTGGTCTATTTTAAGGTCTGGCCTATGGCTTGGGATTTCGGCCAGCACAAGGAAGGGTAAACCAACGATGGAATGCCAGTCCATCGCAGGGCACGTACACATGAAGTGAAAGTGATTGTCATTGTTGACGCGTAACAAAATGTGCCCTCTGCATTTAAACCGTATATAACATAGCGATGGACAGCTATTTTTTTTTTGCACTCAGAGAGCAGGGCAAGGGGCTGCTCAGTGATTCAAACCAGACCTTTCGATGACCAAATGTGTGTATCTAGAGATGAGGCTTAACCTAACTGCATGTCTTTGCAGTGTAAGAGGAAACAGGAGTACCTATAGGGGAAACAGGCATGATGCAGTGAGAACATGCAAACACCATAGACAGAGAACAGGATTTGACCTCTCAGCCTTGGGGGGTGAGAGGCAGCAGTGCGACCCTCCATCACGGGGGCAGACAATGGCTCCTTGTGTATTTCCTGCCGCCCGGCAGTGTCATGTCACATGGTCACACGCAGCAGGCGTCCCACAATCCCTCACTGTCTGGAACAGTTGGGTGAGGTCATTCGGAATAACACAGTCTGCCATACAGCACGATCCTTCCCTGTTTAAGCTGCACAGTTGTCTCAGTAGGGAATGACAGAAAATTGTCTCTGGGTGTCCATTTGCACTGCTAACAAAGAAGAGGTTTGCTAGGCACTGCACCCCCGCCGAGAAATGAGATCACTGGACAGATGGGGAGCCCAGAAGCAGGTCCATGCTTTTTTTGTGGTTACCAGATCAGCACAGACCATGAAGGACTGAAGAAACTCAGGGTCAGGGGGGGGGGCGGATGAGTAATTTGAAGAGAAACTGCTGGCCTTCCTGCTCACGGTTTTTAAATAACAAAGTGCCGTTTAGCCACGTTGGTTACTCTGAGGGGTTAGGGTCATCACCAGGAATGCGACAGGTGGAGCTCACCAGCAGGGTATGGCCACAATGAACGAGGAAGAAAAGAGGGAATTTGCTTATTTTGCACTGTACCTGAGTCCAGCCCACACCAGCATTTGGCGGTGGGAGCAGAAAGCAGTCTGCGACAGACCCAGGATCACGTGTCTCGTAAACACATCTCACCAGCTTCTGTGACCGTGTATTGGAACTATTTTGTAGAGGTTTCTTCTAGTTACTCATTGCGACAGTGACATACTATCCTGGTAATTACTGTACTCATATAATTTCAAAAAATGATGTCACTATGAGAAGGTTGGTCGGGGGACTGGCAGGCTTGGTAAGGAGAGTCAGGTGACCAGGTGTGATGCGATGATTGGTTCTGCTTTCTCTAATTCCCTGTGATGTGTATAAATTGGTGTGTGTGTCTGTGTGTGTGGGGGGGGGGGCTGTTTGTAGTAGCCTGAAGCAAACTAGACCATACAGGCTCCCAATCTCCATCTCCTAAATTGAATCAGAAGGGATACCAGATTTCAATTTATATAGGATAAAGGTCCTTAATTCACATTTAGTTCTGTTACTGGGTAAATTTTATGCATGTGAAATGTTGATTTGCTGTGTCCATTAATTTGAAGGCAAGTAGATAAGAGGAAAGACCCAAGAGTTTTCTTGTGATGTTTCCATGTTGTGATGTTAAAGCCTTCTGCTAACATTGCAGTGTTTCCGAGCTACAGTGCTAAAACCTCGTGTGTTTCCCACGACAGCACCCATATTATCTTTCATCAGATGAATTTGTTCAACATTCTGTTGAAAATGATGAAAAGTGAGGTGGAGACTTGGTTTTGCGACCCTTGGGCATTCGATCGACAAATGGTTTTCATCCATTATTTCCATGTCCTCAGGTCAAGTTCAAGTTTCAAGCTTTGTTTGTCAGATACACATTCATGCGCTGTACCATTGTGCAGTCAAATGCCTTTCACCTGCTTCCTGGATTGTACTTCACAAAATATGCAACAGAACGATAAAAAGCAAAATAGAATAAGAATAACACAAAAATAACAATAAAAACTAAATCACTGCAAAGTATGCTGAGAATCTGGAGTAGACTAACAATTGAAAATGGGTTGGTAAAATCCTTCCATTTTTGTTTCTTCTGGCACTGCCTGATCCGTTCCGCCCATTCAGATTAAACAATGCCTTGTATCAACAGTGAAGAGCTGAGAGCAGGAAACACTCTCAAGCTGGAGTCCGAAATCGCTCCATGAGAATGTGCCAAACACAAAAAGGAAACCGAACACAGAAAGATCTGATTGGGTGTTATCTGAACCCTGGTTGGCCCTTATTGGCTGTCGTACTGGGGTCCCCACACGCACATGTAGACCTGCCCCTTTTTTCATTCTCTGCGAAATGTACCTCCACACACACAGAGACGAGTGGCGACCACAAGCTAATTCATTACTGGGGATGCTATTTACTGCCTAGTCTTTATATGGGGAGAGAGGGGGTCAGGGGGTGGCCGTCCCTACACTCAGAGGAGGTGGGGAAAGCGGAGTAGTAAGTAGGTAAGGCTGGGGGAGGGGGCTGGAGAATGCCACAAGAATGCTTGGGAGGGTCAGAGAAAATAGTGGGAGCGTGCTCAACTTCTCAAGTTTCTAAGAGCAACATCGAGGCACTGAAGGAGGAAGGAGAAGAATACGGCGAGCGGAGCGCCACAGATTAAAGTGGAAGAAAGTCGGGGGGGGGGGCGGAGGAAGAAGGAACAGGAGGATAAGAGTCATGCACTGGAGAGCAGAGGGTCGACAAGACCGCGGGGGAGGGGAGGAGTAAGTGAAGAAATAAGAGGGCAGGACGTAAGCAGCTTGGGAAGAGGGGTGAGCTGGCAGCAGGATTATGCCGGCTGGACGTGCGGGGGGACGGAGGCTGCATCTGGGCCCACGGCACGGGGGGGACATGCGGCCCATCCTGCTGGAGCTGCAGCGTTCCTGGCCGTTCCTCCTGCTCGTCCTGGTGGCTGGCACCACTCTGTTCCTGTGGTACGCGGTAGTGATCTGCCGGTGAGTGTTTCTGTGCTGCCTTGACCTCTGATTTCCTCTGGGGGCACCATGTGCAGGGCGGGGGCAGCCGTGGAACGGTTTCATACGACCGGCTCAGCAAGGCAGAGAAGATGCGTTTATTTAGAAATTAAATCTGTAACTTTATAGGTACTCATTTCATATGAGTGTATATAAATATATGCATTATTAATACATTTATTAGGACGACTATATTAAGAAAATTAATCACGAACACTTAAACTTGGAACACTCGCATTAAGAATGGGATATACTTGAGAAATGTTTTCCCAAATTGCACCTTTGACATTAATATTTGTAAGTGTAAAACTTAATATTAATATATATATATATATTTTTTTTTTACTAAAAGGTCGTTTTTAAGTTGCGCAACGCTGTCAAGAGCTGTAATGATTCCCCGTAGAAGAGTCTAAGATTTCCTGTTTTAAAAAAATGACTGGTGGCTTATAATCATTTGCAGTATGTGGAAGAAGAATTACTGAATATGATGAAAAACTGTGATACTGACATGTCTATATTTATCTGAAGTCACAGCAGGATATCAGATATTATGGAATTTTTTAGTTTTGTTCCTATGACAGCTTTGCTGGTAGACTCATGATTCATTGCAGTTTAAATTAGATCGATGAAGCCACATTTATTCATGTATTTTAGGAAGATTCTGCACCCAGTTTCTCTGAATATTGAACTTCCTCCATCGATTATCCATACCAGCTTCAGGTCTGAAGTTTATCCTAGGAAGTACAGCAGAGTGTGGATGAGAGAGGCAGAACAGTGTTAAATGAATATCCATGCATCCATTTTCTGTAACCGTCTGTCCCAATCAGGGTCTTGGGGAGTCCGGAGCCTTTCCCGGAGGCTACGGACGCAAGGTAGGGAACAGAGATGTTCACGAGTCACAAAATTAGAGTCCGAGTCAAGCCTCTGACTTAGAGTCCGAGAAAAAGAAGCTTCCTAGCTGTGAATGAGGCTGTAAGTCATTTTCAGCTATAAAACAAAACTTTTACTCCGCAGTAGTGTTGTATTTTAGGAAAATCACATTTGAAACCGTCTTTGAACCAGAGACGGGGACTCCCGCTTGCGACTCGGACTGAGTCACACATGCGCTGCTCTTAAATTGACTTCCGATACATCTTGCAGCTCGTTACTTATTGATTCGGACTCGACTCAGACTGGTTCATAGCGACTAGTGAATAATTAGGGTCTTTAAGGCTCTGTTGAAATGTCTATACATGCTAAGCATTGAGTGCACAACTCTCCCAATCCGTGAAGGCATTAAACACATCACTATGTGCGGATGTGTTATTTTACATTAGCAGGCACCGCTTAGAAATAGGCTTTGCTTACCCTGTGTCGTAAATTTATATATATGCATTGTGTTGTTATATAGTGACACAGATCGACATAGATTGCTATAAATCTGATTATTTAGCAGATATGTCCCAAAAACACCTTTTCGTGTCATTTACAAGTGAAGCTGTATCTTCTTACAACTCAAAAAGTGCCCGCACTTCTTCATTGTGCCCCGCATCCCAGCAAACAATATGACGTTGAAATGACGTCTTTTAGACGTCTTGGCCTACCGTAGAAAAGACGTCTTCAGAGGGTGCAGAATGAAAGTTTTTATGACGTCTTTTTTAGACGAACTCTGGATGTTCAGTTATAACAACTATAAGACGTCTGTATAAGGTGAAAGAACAGTCCGGAAATGGTCGGTGTAGACGTCGTTTGAACGTCACAC